GAGGGAGGTCTGGGCCTCTTTGCTTAGGCTGCTGCCCCCGCGACCCGGCCTCGGATAAAGTGGATGAAGATGGATGGATGGTAATAATTTAAAAAAATATTTCTTCATGTCATTATGCAACTAGGGGTGACATGGGCCACGAGATTGAGACACAGCCATTAGAGCCTCCTAATGCGTGTTTTGTTTGGTTTTCCATCGGCGTGGAATCACCAAAATAGAGAGGGCATAGCCTAACATATGAAACAGGAAAAAAACGCTGTGTAATCCCTTTACTTCAACAAAGTAACTGTATTCTAAATACCACCTTTTTAAACAGTAACTGTAACGGAATACAGTTACTCATATTTTGTATTTTAAATACATAACGCTGGTACATGTACTCCGTTACTCCCCAACACTGAGTACAAGTGCTATAAAACTTTAAGAAATAATAATCAATCTTAAACTGGGAAAATCACACAGTATCATCTGTGCTGACTCCTGCTGCTATCCCTCGAATGGTTAAGGGTGAATGCTTTAGCTAATCTCCATCTCCACCCCAAGTGATCATATTCTCTACTGGCATTCTCACAGCAGGAAGTATAATCCTTGTATGACATCACCAGATTCGATTTCCTTACGTTTCTGGTCCTCGGCGATGACTGGGTTGCGGAGCTCGATGAACTCTCCTCCTCCAATCTTGTTAACGGCCTGGACCCTGAAGTAGTACTCTCCATTGTGGATGAGATCTTTGACCACCCAGCTCACCTTGCACTCTCCTGACATTATGTTGACGTATGTCCTCCTGCCGGCCTCACGCCGCTGTGCGGCACCACAAAAGGAACAAATGAAAAAACACATGAGCATTTTATTTTCACTGTCAGATTTCTAATGTGATCAGTAAAAACACGCTGCCATCTCAGACCTGCAAGACATAGTGAAGAATTGGACTACCACCATCATAATCTGGTGGATCCCATGAAACTTTACAGGAGCTCTTTGTGATCTCAGAAGCCACAATTTCCTTGCAAGGACCAGGAAGCCCTGAAGACAAAGACATAGAGACATGAAAAAACATCGGCTCCAGGTTCAGTGTGTCTCTCCAGTGATGTACAAACTGGCCATGTGTGTTTAAATACCGATGACTTTGACATTGATGGTGGCACTGGCACTTCCCAGCTTGTTTTCTAGTGTCACTTTGTACACTCCAGCATCGGCATGAAGACTGCTGTCAATCTCCAGGTGACAGGAGGTATACTCCTTCCTGTTGAGCACCAACCAAGAAAGAAAAGACACAAAGCCATTTTAATGGAGCTCATGTTGGGCTTTTTCCCAGCAAAAAAGATCAGTTTTCTACTGTTTGTTTGAAGAGTAATTTCAATATAGTATTCTTTAAAGAATATGTTCTTCTATTATATCAGTCATTCCATCTCAAATCAGTACATCCATGAGGGTCTGAAAGGTGTCTATAAATAAAATGTATTATTATTATTATTATTTTATTACATGTTTGGTAACATTTCTACTTAAACAACTCCAATTTTCTTAAATGTTTTATGGTCCAAAGTTTACCCATATATAGTGAGTGCTGTGAAATTTTAGTTTTATACATTAGAATTAGTGCTGTCAGAGTTACTCTCGTTATAATGACGTTAACGTCATGACCGCATTCACACAGCAGATCTCTGTTAGCACGGATTGGCCCATGCTAGGGGCTGCACGGCACTAACGCGCTAACAGGCTAACCGTGCTAACACTTTGACGCTGTGCAACCCTAAAACATGAAATTTTAGTTTTTCACATTAAAATTAAAAAAGAAATATTTTTTAAATGGTCACTTTCAGACCATTGTTTTGCTAACTGAAATATGAATGTATGTGTCAAAAACTAATAAAAACTGGTCTTTCTAACAGCTGAAATAGATCAATTTGGGACAGATACGCACATAAAAAAATTGCCTACTAACCCCTCTGACCCTAAATCCCTAATCTATCCCTAACCCAACCCTAAACCTGGCATGACTTCTACAGGTAAGCAGAGATCAGGCATGTAAATACATATAAATTCCCCATTCTTTATACTCCCAGATCGGGTGCTAGTAGAGGCTGGGAGTTTGAGGGTCCTGCTCAGTTTCTTGGACTGCACTCTTCTACCTCTTAGTATATTTTAAACTTAATTTTAAATATCAGACTGAATGATATGACTGCTCCGGTGCATTAAGTCTCAAACTGTTGGGTAGAGCAAGTGTCAAAAATGAAAACTATGAATATGTTTTAACAACATTATTTTTCAGTTATCACAAAAAGCAATACCTGGAAACGCTAGGATTTTTTAAAATATTTTTCTTACCTTAACTTGCCACTACTCAGACATTTACACATCGGTCCCAAATTAAGGATCTTGATGCATTTTGATGGTAAGAAAAATGAGTGAAAATTTTAGACTCAAATATTCATGTTCAAACTTTTCCTCACATTTAAATGTGTGAAAAATGGCTTGAAAGTGGGTGGATTGTAGATTTTTATTTATTTTTTTGTTTGTTATATTAGGATAAAATTTCACAGCAAGCATAAAGTTTTTATGCAAATCAGAGATGGATGAGTGTAAGGCCTGTGCTGGTGTGAAATGAAATAACCGATATGACAAAAGTTCTAGCTGAAAGGATTCGCACAGAACACTCACCTAAAGCCAAGGCGTTCATCCGCCTTCAGCTCTTTGCCATCTTTGTGCCAGGTGATTTTAGGTAAGGGGACTGCTCTAAAGGGAACTGGAATGTGCAGCTTTTCTGTTTCCACAACAACTAGATCCAGAGTCTGGAATTCCAGAGTTGGGTTGCCTGAAAACACGGAAAAACAAAATCTTTCTCAGCCACAAATGAAGGGCACCGGTGACTCTCAGAAACAAATATGAAGATTCTTACAGTCAGAGTCTTTGGCAAAGACATTTTCAGAGATGTCCGACGGTTCGCTCTCTCCGATAGCGTTAACGGCCCTCACTCTCAGAATGTACTCCTTTTCAGGGGTCACACCCTCCTCTACACGGTACTTGAGCTCCTTCACTGGACGGGAGTTCACCCTCATCCACTTCTCAGTTCCAGCCTCGCACATCTCAATGTGGTATCCTCTGACAGGGGCACCGCCATCTGTTTGTGGAGGTTTCCAGGCAATTGCCAGGAAGTCTCGGCTGGCTCCAGTCACGTGTAATTCAATGGGTGGTGATGGGATGCCTGGAGGGGAGAATATAAACTCAGACTCTCCGCACTTTAAATTGTTTTTACTGTTACAATATAATTATTAATGAATTGAAAGCCTTTATTGTCATTATACATAGTATAACGAGATTAGAAACAGCTCTATAAAAGTGCACACGTGCTTATAGCATTTTATAAAAACTATACAATAATTTAACTATACACTTACTGTAAATATATGAAGCTTATTTATTTATTTTTTTATCTATTTCCTGAGCTGACCTGTTGGATCTTCTATGGTGAGAATCTCGGTGGGTTCACTTGGGTGTCCACTGCCAGCCTCGTTCTCAGCTCGGACTTGGAACTGAACCTCTGTTCCCTCAATGACGTCTGTTACCCTGTACTTACAGTCTGGACCCGAGGTCTTCCCACATTTCACCCAGCGAGTTCCAAGCTTCTCTTTTTTCTCAATGGAATACCTGAACACCCAATGGAATACAAGGGAAATAGACCTTTATACATACTAGGTCGAGGAAACAAATCTACTGCTTCTGCTGCAGGTGCCATTTACATGGTGATCTACTAAGTGCCTATCCTGCATGAGAAATGTAAGGAAATCAGTTTTGCAGAAATGTTTAAGTTGCACGGGACTTAAGTTGTGCAATGTCACATACAGGGTACAAGATAAAATGTGATAAAATGGTAAAATGTAACCTGAGGATGGGTCTTCCACCATCGTTTTTCGGTGCCTCCCACTGCAAGTCCACATATCTTTTGGTCACAGCACTGACAGCGAGAGCGTAAGGTGGGCCAGGAGTACCTGGAAATGAGGAAACATTATCGTCGTTCTTTGACAGATCAGCAGTGAGGATTTTCATTGCCTTCAAATTGAAATGATTTGTGCGACTGCGCATCCTTTCTAACTTACTGAAAGTGTCTTTTGCCAGCACAGAGTCCTCCATCTCACAGAAGGGTCCAACACCCACAGCGTTTTCAGCAGCAACACGGAACACATAAAGCGACCCTTCATTGAGCGGCTTCACGTCGCACTTCAGCTCTTTGACTGTGGTGTCCACAGTCTGCCAACCTTTACGCCTCACATCACGTTTCTCCACAATGTAGTTGGTGATGGCTGAACCTCCATTGCGCTCAGGAACCGCCCATTTCAGCTCAGCACTGTTCCTGCTGATGTTGACAACCTCTAACCAGCGTGGAGCTGAGGGAGGGTCTGGGGAAAGGAAGACAAACCACAGTTTTAATCTGTCGGTATGACCTGGCCAGCTTCAGAGCACCAGCTGTCGGATGTGTCGCCCATATACCATAGTGTACCACGCTTATTCTCTACCAGTTTGTCTTACAGGGAAATGTTTGACTGTTTAAAACTTCAAATATTCCAACAATTAAAACTAAATTTAAACAATTAAACTCAATTTAAGAAAATGTGAAACTGTGCATTACATGTCACATCATTTGTCTTTTCCAGATGAAAAACACATTTCATCTAAAAAACCTGTTTAATTCAGGGTGAACGTACTCAGAGTTTGAACACTGATCAGCTGTCCTACAACAGCAAATGCTGAGCTGCCAGTCTGAGAGTTCAGCTGTTGAACGGCCCTCCTGTCTTGTACTCCCCACATAGACGTTTTCCCGAGGGCGTTCCATTTTTACCAATTATCCAAGCGTGCATTTAAGTTTTGGTTTTCAGTTTTGGTACTGAAGCTATGATATATCCCACTGTACTGATGCTCATGATTGGACATAGATTTAAAAAACAAAAAAACCCACCCTGAATAAATGCAAAATTTTAACCTTATTTTGAACATAAAAAATAATAATCAACCCACCTCTGTGTATTTTTATGGCAGTTTTATTAGCACTCTGAGAGGCTTATGTGGGAACCTTTCTCAGAGAAACCCACGTATGCTTATTGTACAGTTAACCGTTTGTGTTCTGGACATTTGTTTTTATTTCATGTTTGTCTAAATTGTCTGACAGCACCTGTGTTATAGAACCACACACACTAAATATCTATGTTTATTTGTGTGTGTGTTATAAATTGCACATTTTTTTAAGCTCACCCCTCTTGTATAATGTGGCAGTCAGTGCAGAACAGATCATTGATCTATGTTTTACTCCAGTATGTTTTTCTGTTTTTAGATCATGAGTTATTCTTACTGAGTCTCTCTTTGCAGAGCACTGGGTCACTGGGTTCACTGGGTTCGCTCTCTCCAGCCACGTTAACAGCTCGCACTCTGAACGAGTACTCCTGCTTCTCCATCAGGCCCTTTAGGAAATATTCCAGCATGGGGATGTTCTCTGCCACGCGGATCCAGTCCGTGGTGCCGGTCTTTAGCATCTCAATGACATAGCTATCAATCTTTGCTCCGCCATCATGCTCTGGTTTGGTCCACATTAGGAAGCATGACGTCTTAGCTACGTCCTTCACTGTGGGTTTGCCAGGGGGCCATGGAGGGTCTGGTAGGAAAAACAACTGTGACATATTTATCTATTCTAAACAGATTTAAAGTGCTTATAGAAGTAAGGGAAATTTAGTACCAATAGGATCTTTAACAAGGATTGGATCTGTCTCCTTGCTGGGTTTTCCAGTTCCGGCCAGATTCTCAGCAAGGACTCGGAACTTATACTTCTTCCTGGTTGGAAGACCTTTGACCCTAATGAAGAAAAGTACACTGTAATCTACCAAAGAAGCTTAATGCAAGAGTAAGTTTTGAAATTCGACAGCAGAGTAGCTAGGCTAACCTTTTTTGTGTCTTTGACTGGTCAAAAAAGTTATAGCATATGAAAGTTCTCTTTTTACCTGCATTTTAATGCAAATATAAAAAACTTCTATAACGTTTTGTTTTTCAGTTTATACTGTTGCCTAATTTCCATTGTCAGATGTTGAATAATAGAGATGATGCATAATATTAGTTTCCCATATGCTTTTACACAAATCAATTGTTTTTAACTTTGGGAACCATCACAAGGTGCAGTGCATTTCGGATGAAGACTCAGTGGCCAGTATTAATACTGCTGTGTTGCTGCTGTAGTGTTGCAAATGTGAACGATGGAGATTGTTGTGGAAGTTTTCCATTAAGTAAAGCCTGCAGACGAGCGGTGAGCGGTAGCTAACATTCTTTAATCACAAACAACGAACAGAAAACCAAGCTTGGTGGAGCCTGCATGATCGTGGGGCAGACTCAGCTAAATACCGTCTCCAGGAACTAAAGGCAGTACACAGCTGTTTCACAGCTTAAGGTTCGCACTCCCTTGCTACCTCCCAGAGTCCTCGAAGAGACAAAAGACTCTTCCTGTGGAGTTGTCTGCTTGTCTGCTTCCCCCCAACTTCCTTACCAGACCCCCACCATTTGTCTAAGTAAGTAAGTAAAATTAATTTATATAGCACATTTCACAGATAAAAATCACAAAGTGCTTTACAATAAGATCAGACATACAAGTTAAAATTAATTAAAAGCCCGTTTGTATAAAAATGTCTTCAGCTGCTTTTTAAAGGAGTCAGTAGAGTCTAGACAGCGTAAAGACAACGGCAGAGAGTTCCACAGCCTAGGTGCCTGAAAAGCCCGATCCCCACGTGTTTTAAACCTAGTACGTGGGACCACCAGTAGCCTCTGACTTGAAGACCTAAGTGCTCAGGATGAAGCATGAGGTTTCAACAGGTCAGAGATATACTGGGGAGCTTCACCGTGCAGAGCTCTAAAAGTTACACCTAAAATTTTAAAATGAACCCTAAACTGCATGCTAAAGAGACATGCTAAAATCCAGGGATTTAATTCATCAGATCTATTTGCCAGACAATTTTTCAGCTCGGTGTAAGAGACTGAAGCACAGCTGTGACGGCTGTATGAATTGATTGCTTCAGTCAGCCTTTGTCTGTTGGCATCAAAATCACTGAATTAACTTTTTTTCTAATAGGTTAACTTATGGGACAGGTGCTTTGTGAAAACAACAAAAGTAACCAGATCAGTTCAGTCAGTTTCAGTCTGGTGTTACTAAACCACACATTTGTCCGTGTACAGGGGTCGCTCATAAATTTAGTCTTAAGTTCTTATCTCCAAAAATGGATTTGATCCAGAGAGTCCTGGATAGAAGGTGAACCTGGTAACAGTGAAAACCTTTTAGATGCTATAACTTGTTTTGACCAGCCACCTATCCCACATAGTTGTACTGTGTTTTTATAGTTAAGAACACATTTCATTTCAGTGAAGTATCAGAGAAAACAGAAAACATCAGGAGCACCAGTACTTTTTCTATTATTCCTGAGTTTAAACTTATCTGTTGGAAATGTACATCAGCACACTAATCTACCAAAGAAGCTCAATGTGTAAACATCAGTTCTGAAATGTGACAGCTAGGCTCACCTGTAGTTTGTGTCTTTGACTGGCAGCTTGTTGCATCTTATCCACTTGTCATGGTCAGCTTCGTATCTCTCCACCCAGTATCCAGTAATTGGGCTTCCTCCATCCTCATCGGGCTCATACCAGTTCAGATTCAGAGAGTCCTTTGCAATATCTGAAGCCTCCAGCTTGTAAGGAGCCCCGGGAGTATCTGAGGACAAGATCAGATGCATCAGGTTAGTCCAAGTCATGAAGACTTGATGTACTTGACCAACTAGGGACCTGAAAGTAAAAAAGCCTGATTATGACAAATGTTCCACACTAAACTCTTCAGTTAGCTGAAAATCAACAAGAACAAGAATCTCTCACAGGATCTTATTAAAAAAAACTATACGATTAAGCTGTTTTTCCATCTTAACCTCCTAAGACCCGAACTCTTCCACGGCAGCATTTTTGATTTCTCTTTGATATTTGGGCTGATTGGGACCTGATGAATGTAAAAACATAGAATTACCAGATTTTTTTTTTACCTGATTTTTGTTTCTAAGAAAAATGAGAGCCACATATGAGGATATTCGTTTAAAATTTCATTAGAACAGTAGCAGTATAATGTCTTCGTAAGTGGATATCAGGCCCTTGTAGAGCAAAATTGAGTATTTTGGTCTAAATAACCCAAAATGTGATGTCCACATATGTGGACGCAGGTCCTAGGAGGTTAATGCTGCATCAGACATTTCAATCCAAACAAACAGAAAAAATACTACTGTATATGAATCTATACATAAAAGAAAACTGGAAATGGACTCATCTACAAATGGAAATTTCTGTTTCTAAGATATTAGATGTAAGGTAGCCTACCAAAGGGGTATTTAGCAGTGATTGATGGGTGTTCAGCAGCTGGACCAACACCAAACTGGTTTTCAGCAAATACTCTGAAGATATAGTCCTTGAACTTGATCAGACTGGTAGCTTTGTATGTGGTCTGCTTCACAGTGGAGGACAGTCTGTGCCAGATCTCACTATCAGCAGCTCGCCGTTCAACAATATAGTTGGTAACTTTGGAGCCACCATCATCACGTGGAGGGTTCCAAGCCAGAAAGCAGGACTCATTGGTGATTTCAGAAATGTCAAAAGCAGCAGGAGGACCAGGCTTATCTGTTTTGAAGAGCAGATTTAAAATTGTAATCAGCAGAAACGGAGAATCTGTACCTTTCTCGGTCATTAATTGATCTTACCAAGGATGTTGACATCCACAGTGGCAGTGGCACGACCGCTGCTGTTGGTGGCTTCGATGATATAAGTGGAACTGTCATCTCTCTTTGTCTTGGCGATGGTGACCATGGAGTGTCCTGGCTTGGTGTCGATGGACACCCTGTCGTCTGGTTTGAGGACCAGGTCGGCTTTGGTCCACTTGACTCGTGGCTCAGGCTTACCTGTCACATCAGCAGGAAGTTCAATCTTGCTGCCAGCCTTAGCAGTCAGACCAGCCAGAAGCTTGGCATCCAGCTGGATCTCTGGAGGCTCTGCATAGAAATTAAGGACAAGAAGTCAGTCAGTAGGTGGGCATTGAGATGCCATAGTCACAATAGAGTAAAGAGGACAGCAAGCTCAGTGTGACCACGTAAAACTAATGGCTTGCTTATACGGAGTTTATACGAGGGAATAACTTGTAACGTTGGATTACACCATATGCAATTTCATGGTCCTAAGAGGACTACATCACAAGTACCTTTAGGATCAACAGCCTGGATCTCATCAGTGGCTTTGCAGGGCCGGCTGGCTCCAAGTCGGTTCAGGGCTCTGATTCTGTAAGAGTACCACTGACCCTCAATAAGATTCGTCACCTGACACTTCAGCTCAGGTACCAAGTCCCCACAGGGCTCCCACTTATCCGTTCCTCTCTGACAGCGTTCAACATTGTAGCCCCGGATGCCGCTTCCGCCATCATACTTTGGCGGCTCCCAGGTCAGGAAGATGCCACTGGCTGACTTGTCCCTCCACCTCAGGTTTTCTGGAGGGTCGGGGACAGCTGGAGAAAAAAACAGTTGGAGCGCTTAGAAAGTTTCTCAGAAGCAGTTTAATCGAAAGGAAGTCTCGTGTTGTTCTGACTCTACGTGTACGAAGAATGTGTTTAAGTATTTTGATTAATAGAGACAGCCAGTATTGTCATTAACATCAATGTTACACATTGAACACTGCCTTTACTCACTTGCAGGAGAGGAGACGTTAACTGGCTCGTCAATATATGCTGGCTCTCCCGGTCCACATTTGTTGCAGGCGGTGACTCTGAACAAATACTCCTTCCCTTCAACCACGTCAGTAACGGTGAACTCCAGATCCTGGATCCCTGTGGTCACCTTAGAGAAAGAAGAATTAACATCAGGCTTAATTGGTCCTTCATCACCATGTGCAGTCCAGCTAAACATTTCTTCATGACAGGCTGGGGCCATGGAGATAGTATGAGGGGAGATATTATTGAGTGGGTGATAATACTGGAAATGCACTATACGAGTGCCAGTCAGCAGGTGTTGTTACGATTCGGCTGTTACTTGTTCATGAATACCCAGAGCCAGCTAATTACAGAGCACACTCTCTCTTACACGTGTGTGTGCGTGTGTGTGTGCTTTAAAATATAAAATTACACTTTTTTAATTTAAATATTAGATGACACATTATGTAGTTATCAGCTGGTTCAGCACACTCTGAAAGCCGATGTCACTGTTGTACCTTGACCCAGGTCTTGCGGGACATGTCTCGTTTCTCCACCTGGTAGCCAATCAGAGGACTTCCTCCATCATGCTCTGGAGCCTCCCAGCTCAGGTGGACATGCTGCCGAGTCACCTCAAGGACCTTGAAGTCCTTTGGAGCACTGGGTGCAGCTGGAGACACAAACAGAAATCCGATGACACAATTTTAACAAAAATGTAACATTTGTCAAGTTTTTTTAAGGAAGATTTTTAAGGTGTTTTTAAGGTGTACCAATAACATTGACTTCAATCTCTCCAGAGACCGATGTGACATCATTCTCCAGATGTAGCGTGTAGATGCCTTTGTCTGGACGGACACTCGGAGTGACCATTAGTTCTGTAAATGTTGACTTTGTCATGAGGAAAACCCGCTCATCATGCACGCTGGATAGCTCCTTCTCTCCGAAGGTCCACTTAGCAACAGGTATTGGATATCCAGTTATGGGGACTCTGATGGTGAGAGGCTGGGGAACAATCACTTCCAGGCCATCTTTAAAAGCACTCAGGTCAAAGCTTGGACCAACTGGAGAAGAGACAGAGGTTTTAACGTGCCTGCCTTTGCCAATGATTTTACACTGAAGGAATAGCATATGAATAAAATAACTATGAACTAATACAAAAACCAAGTGAGAAGACACCATTAATCTCACCATGTGGGTCGTCAGCTAGCAGAGGTCCGATGATGTTTGAAGGCTCAGAGACTCCGGCAGCGTTTTCAGCAAACACTCTGTAGTTGTACTTAGTCCCATATTTCAGACCTGACACCTGAGGCAAACGTCAGTGAGGGATTACAACAAAGAAATGTCAAACTTTTAAAAAACCTTGTATTTAAAAGACTTTAAAAGACAGTTTTGGGAGGTTTTTACTTTGAAATAACTGGTATGCCTTTTTTAAATGACAGGTTTTTTTTAACCCTTGCTGGAAGGCTTGTTTTGTCAATGACACTTGTAATGACACGTTTTTCGCCCGAAGCAGCTGATAAAGGGCTTTTACTCAAAGGTTGTCTTTGGTCACAAGACACTGAACATCAACGAAACAGCTACTCAGGTTTGCAGAGGATTTTCTTTGATTTGTACCTTGTAGAAGAGGTCAGGGCAGAGACGGGCGTTGCAGCGGAGCCACTTGTCAGAACCGTCCTCACAGCGTTCAATGATGTATCCGGTGATCATGCTGCCTCCGTTCTTCAGTGGAGTCTCCCAGGTGAGCTGCACTGAGCTCTTGTTCTGGTCCTGCCAGGACAGGTTCAGAGGGGGGCTGGGACGCTCTGCAGGTGATCAGAAAACACCAATTTTAAACCTGTTAAGTTAGAAGTATCCTAGGGTAAACCAGTGTGTGTGCTACGTTTTACCAGGCAAGAAAGGTTGACACTGAACTAGTTAAGTTGCTTTGGAGTGCTAGCTTCTTTCTGTTCAATATTGTGTCTGGATTTTCCCTGATTTTGACGGACAGACTAACCTTATCTAACCATTAGATAATAATTTTCTTACTAGAAAGGGTAACCAATCATCTTTCCATGAGCCAAACTCACCGATTGGATCCATGATTTTGACGGGCTGTGAGGCAGCACTGGGTTTGCCGACACCGGCTCTGTTCTCAGCTTTCACTCTAAAAATGTACTCTTTATTCTCAATGACATCATTAATGATGGCACTGAGGTCATCAGGTTTGGCCACCAGGACAGGAGACCACTTCACTGACGTCCTGTCGCGGAGCTCAATGATATAAGAGGTAATGGGAGAGCCTCCATCTGACGTGGGAGGCTCCCAAGACAGAGTGCAGCCAAACTTGGTGACGTTTCCCACGATCACATTCAGAGGAGCTTCAGGAACATCTACAGAGATAAACAAAATATATTTTAGTGAACATGTGTTCAAGCATCCAAGTATTAAAGTATATATCAAGTTAAATTTGCACCTCAAAGATCTTGAACTTGGAAGTTTGGGCTACTTTTGTCCACTTAACTAGACTGTTTAATTTCCTTTCATCAAAATATCAATGCTTCTGTTTAATCTGAAACATCCTGTAGCCACAGGATGTTTCATATAAAGAAGCTAAGAGAAAGTTGGTGGCTGTGTAAAGGAACAGTTTGAAATAAAGTATCATGGGTTATTTTGAACTCTAACAGAGTAAAGATTTTAAAAAAGAAACAAGGATATGAGCAGAACAGGTCAACTTAACTTCAAAGATTTGGCATGTTTGTTATATTAACACCATACTCACCATATTCAGATAATTTGATTTAGCCGCCGTCTAATTCAGTTATGAGAACAATAAGCTAACATTACCAAGATATCAGTTCATGCACTACAAATTTTTATCAGTATTTTGCAATATAAAGTCTCTATATTTATAAAGTTGACCAAACTATTGTTTGTTTTTATTTTACCTAAAAGAGTAACATCTCTTCAACTTAGTTTTATATCTTTTTTGTTACCTTAAAGTGAAGCTTACTGTCTAACATCAGAACTACTTTACATCATTATTTAAATGTGTGCAAAAGATGAATAAATACAGTAAATCTCACCAAACTTGTTCTTAGCTTGCACAGCTTCGTCAGTCTCCACAGTGGGTCCGCTGCCAACCCGGTTTCGGGCACAGACTCTGAATAGGTACTTGGACTCCTTCTGGAGGCCGGTCACTGTGTATTCAGGACTTTCGGCATGATCGGTGGCGAGTGTCCAGGTCTTACGTTTCTCATCACGTCTCTCCACTACGTAGCCGATGACTTTACTGCCGCCATCGCTCTCAGGCTCCTCCCATGCTAGGCTGATCTCACCATCTGCAGTGTCAGTCACCTGGAGGTTCTTCACAGGTCCTGGGACATCTGGAAAAAGAAAATCACATTATAGGATAAAATAAGCAGCCTATGGACATCTACACTACAGTATCAGCTCTGAATGAAGAGAAACCCGTTCTAAAGTTTATTCTTAATCACAGAAACAGCAGATGTGAAAATACCACACGACACCCATTATTCTGTTGTTTTAAGTATGACTGGTGCTTTTAAAGTTCACTCGTTATTACGGGATTTGAGAATTTTTATGCTTTTCTTTTTGACAATTAAAAATAATGTTTTGCACCTTTTCATGCTGCTTCAGCTACTTTTGAAGGAAAGAACCTGCAGATTTAAGTAACATTCATTATGGATGGGGTGAGAAATACTGAGGCACTATGTATCATCTGAATTAGATTAATATAGCAGAACACAGCTTTTGACGACGTGTTGTCCAGATTTGGCTTCACATTTAACATTAATGATCCCAATAGTGGTCAGACTATTTAAAAAAACTAGCTTGTACTAGTAACTATTTTATCTCTAATATCACACGTAATTACTATAAAATCCTTGTGGAAGCTGCAGTTCAGTGTAATTTTAATTGTAAACTGTCTTAACACTAATTTAGTATAATTTTGTTTACTTGTAGTTAACCAGCTGCTTCTACATAACAAAGGAGACCTTACCAATGACATTCAGGTTGATGAAAGCTTCTCCCGCTCCATGTTTGTTTTTGATGATGATCTTGTAGGAGCCCTCGTCGACTTTCTTGGGGTTCTTTAATCGGTACTCTGTGTGCTCAGCTGAGGTGTAGATGTTGTCTTTTTGCAGACTCAGGTTGTTGTACAGCCAGTCAGCTTCAGCTTGTGGATAGGCACTGTAGGGGACGACCATGATAACAGGCTTTCCAACATCTGTGACGTAGTTCTGGTCAGTGGTCTTTATCTGAGGCACAGCTGCAAGAGGTGAGATATATCATCAGTAGCACATGTAGCAGGTACAATAACTACTGAACACAACACTGATTTTTCTAGGTAACCCATGGTTCACTGGACAATGCCTTGGACTTGGACTGCAGTAGCAGTGACTGCAGTGACAGTTATTGTATTTTTTGTGTCTGCACTCTCACCTGCCAGTTCCAGCCTGGCCTTTGCATCTTTATCCTTGGCAATGACTCTGTACTCTCCCTGGTCCCGAGGTCTGATCTCACAGACCTGCAATCTGTGGACTTTACCCTCGCTCATCATCTGGTATTTGTCTCCCTGGACAACGGTCATATTGTTCCTCAACCACTTCACCTCCACTCTGTCTTTGTTGAGCTCCACCTCAAATACAACGTCCGAGCCTGGAGGTTCAAACACGTTCTGCGGGGGTCTGATGATTTCCACTGGGGTCTCTGCAGGACAAAATAATATTTTTAAAGCGGTCACACAAAGCAGGAACTACATTCTACTGAAAACTCTTGGAGGCAACTCTGAGGATTTCACCTTCAACAAAAAGCCTGGCTCTGGATTTCTTCTCCTCCACACCACAGGCATATTCACATTCATCATCAGGTCTGCATTCCTTGATGCGCAAAGTGCAAATCTTTCCATCTCGTTCAAATATGTATCTGAGACAAAATAGTGAATTGTTTAAAAGTAAAGAAGGAGACAGATTCCAAAACAGTAAAGTGTAAAAACGGAGGACACTGTTCATCAGGAAGAATTCTGTGTGGAAAATAAACTTTTGTTTTTTCTCCTTTGTAAATGTGTAAAGTCATTAAGTCTGGGAGTTACTGCAGTTTGTGATTTGGAGGTGCAGTGTAGCTGGCCATGCTAATTTGTCCTGCTCAGATTACGGCTGCTAACTGAGAGTAATTGTGCAGGAACGTGTGTTCAAAACCACTGAAATTACTGAGGGCAACTTCTCACTTTGTTTTTGTTGATTAATTTGTATTTATACAGTACCGTGCAAAAGACTCAGCCACCCCTCATTTCTTTATCTTTTGTTATGACAGTGGGAAACAGGTGTGGTGATTTATTAAAACACGTGCACACATGTATGGAATACAGTATGAGGAAAAAAGCTTCCCTAAGGACTGGAGGTCCCTACATATGTACGTCTAAAAGTTCACTGAACTTGGATCTGCATAGAACGTTTTCCTTCATTGTGTGGTTGAACCTGGCATAGCTGTAGGCTTCATTTCTATTGGCTGAGCAAAGGCAAGTCACAGGGTGCAGCGGTCAACTGGTTTGAACTGGGTTTTTTTGGCCTTTTTTATTGGCTACACGGAGAGGCTGAAGGGAAAGCAGATTGAGAGAGGGACCATACAGCAAAGGGCAGCAGGTTGGACTCAAACCCGGGCCAGCCACACAGCATATGGTTGCCTGCTCATCCCAGTGAGCTAAACCAGCGTCCAACTTGCTTAAACTTTGACTGTGGCATGCAGGAGTACTCCTTGATGGCGTGTATGTGCTTTGCCTTTCTTTGCAAAGTGGTAAACCGTTATTGTGCGGTGCAAGTAATAGAAATGATTGCAGCACTAAATGGGACGTGCTGTAAAGGATGCCCCCCTGGGTGAAGTGTTTCGAGCATGTCCGACTAGAACGAGGCCTGGTGAAGACCCAGCACACGCCAGAGAGGTGACATCTCTGTGAACTCCTTGACATTCCACTTATTCAGGGTTTACCCGGCCCCGGATAAGCAGAAGAAAATGGATAGATGGAAAGATGGAAAATGGACTGGGCTGAAAGTGAGTAAAAAAAGCAGCCAGTGCTCAAACACAAACAATGAAAAACCTTCAGAAGGCCTGGAGATCTATTGCTCAGGACTACTTCGAACAATAGGACATAGTATGGCTCCTTGGAACCAAAGTATGAAGAAATAAGGGGCGGCTCGAGACCTTTGCACAGTACAGTATATATTTAGTACTCTGTATTTACTTATAATATAAATATTATAAGCCCCGGCTTGGACAGTCTCGGTCGTTGTGTCCTTGGGCAAGACACTTCACCCGTTGCCTACTGGTGGTGGTCAGAGGGCCCGGTGGCGCCAGTGTCCGGCAGCCTTGCCTCTGTCAGTGCGCCCCAGGGTGGCTGTGGCTACAATGTAGCTGCCATCACCAGTGTGTGAATGTGTGTGTGAATGGGTGGATGACTGGATATGTAAAGCGCTTTGGGGTCCTTAGGGACTAGTAAAGCACTATATAAATACAGGCCATTTATAATAAGGTTCTATAATGAAATATATTAACAGTGAAATCAGTTTGGTCTTTGTTGTGTTGGTCACAGTTTAAAATTAAATGAACAGAGTGTGTTTACATCATTCACAGAGAAAAAGAAACGTTTCACACACCTGGGTCCTTCTCTGATCTCTCGGCCATTTCTGTACCACTTGACTTCAGCTTTCTCTTTGGTCAACTTGCATGTAAACTCTGCGTCCTCGAACTCAGTGATTGTTTGGTCTTTTAGGTGCACGTTGAAATCCGTCGGTGCCTCGCTGATGATGAGCTCTGCTGTGGCTTTGTCGTCTCCGGCTACAGCTGTGTATTCACCCTCATCGGCCAGGGTGCAGTCTTTGATGGTAAGCGTATGCTTGTCTTTGTCAACTCTGTAGACAATGCGTTTGCTGAGGGTAATCTCCTCACCGGCCTTCATCCACTTCAGAGTAGCATTGGGCCTGTTGACCTTACAAGAGAAGCTGATGGTCTTCTTCTCCTGAGTGTCAATGTCCTCCGGGGGAACCACTATTCTTAGACTCTCCTCTGAAAAACACAAAGTACAGTCATATTTCAGACATTAATACTGTAGGTACTTTGGTACTTTGCATTTATATACTTTGCTAATAGTGCATTGGACGTCCTACAATTCTCCTTCTCATGCCAAAGGTGATCTACTGGACCAAGTCTGAGGACTGTTGTTCGGTGAACCCATCATCATGTTAGAGATGATGTGAGTCTTGTAATGTGATACATTAAGTGCTCAAAGTAGAAATCATCAAGTGATGTACATGTTCAGCAACAATACTCGGTGATGTTTCACTTTATGTGACAGTGGGACTGCAAACACAACAAAACATGCAGCCATGCTGCTGCCAGGAACCACTCACCTCTGATGGTCAGGCTGCAGTTGCTCTTGGCATGCTCTCCTCTCTGATTGGTCAAGTTGATGCTGTAGTTGGATTCGTCTCCCTTCTGGACATCTTTGATTCTCAGGGAGAAGACATTGTCTCTCTGGGTTATTACGTACTTGCTGCTCTCAAATATGGTGTCGTCGTTCTTCAGCCACTTGGCCTTTGCTCCCTCTGTGTTGACCTCACAGTTCAGGACGACCTCCTGACCTTCTTTGCCCTCTGTGTCTTTTAGAGGGGTGATGATTTTCAGTCTCTCTGCAGAAAATAATAGAGCAGACACCAATGAGAATATTTCTGGGTCATCTGTACAAAAGACTTTAATTTCAAACGGCTGAACTCCTTGAGCCGGGGAAGAAACAAAACCCAAAAATGACACCTTCCTGCACTGCAAGTACTTCTAGCTAATATTACGTTTCAGAATGTGTTGCCAGAAATATTATTAATAAAAAAGATATACTTTCAATATGAAAAAGAAATTTTACTTCAATAAATTCCTATATTTTGCTTCATGCTGCCAATGTTGAACAAGACTGATCTCGAATGTAAATTGTTAAATACAGATTCAGGGAAAATGCTTAGTGTACTTGAAAAACAAACTAATTTAAAACTTCATTTGGTCTCCCGGGAGCAGGTTTTCTTCCCATTAACTGAGATAAACTTAAAGTGGGCAGGGCTTACCGAGCACAGTAAGGTCGGCGCTGGCTCTAGTTGGTCCAATCATAACTATGTATCCACCCTCATCTTTAAGTTCACAGTCCTTGATTTCAAGGATTCGTTTCTTGCCATCGGTGACTATCTGGTATTTCTCTCCGGCCTCAAGCTCCACGTCATCTTTCATCCATTTGACTTCATAGGTCTCCTTGGATACGGAGCACGTGAACGCTGCCTTCTCTCCTTCCACCACTTCTAGGCTTTGTGGCCTTGAGATGAATTCAGCAGCTAATTCTGCAACACAGGAAGCATTTCAGAGCTTAGAGATGGTTTTATTTCAGTGAGACCAAGGCTTAGAATCAGGTTTCTTTTAGCCACATGCTAAAAACGAACATTTCCTAGAGGCTGTCACATTTCAAATCAAGTCAAATCAATCAAGTTATCTGTGAAAAGGTTTGTATTTAGGTGCTTCAAATTGTAAAATATCCTATAACAATGGCCTGAAATTAACCAAAACCTAACCTTTACCCAAGATGGGTTGCAAATGGAGTGATAGATGTTGAAAGGTAAGGGTTTAAAATGATAAATCCTGATTTTAGATTTATTTCTCTGCATTTTCTTTGTTGTGTGTGTTACTGCTCTCGCTGTTACTTTGTTCCAAGTGCCTTTAACATTTTTTGCGTACCATTAATCTTGAGATTTCCTGAAGTTTTGTTGCTGGGACTTAGCCTGCAGTTGTACTCTCCAGCATCAGACATGTTCAGATCCTTGATCAGGAGTATCCTTCTCTTCCCATCTACAATTTGCTCATAGCGGCCACCCTCTGGCAGCTCCGTGTCTCCTTTGTACCAGATAACGTCTGCGCTGGGTTTGGAGACTTCACAAATAAGTTTTACACTGTCGGTCTCAGTTCCCTCCACATTGAACAGGTTCTTGGTGAACCTTGTCTCCTCCTCTGCAATGAAAGGAATCCTCCATTAGTGGCTTAAAACCTTTTAATACATTAATATATTTTAGCAGTAAACTGCCATAACTGCTATCATGCTCACATCATTTATATCTAATTCATAAAACTCATTCAGCTTCAGCAAAATTATGTTAAATTATCAAATCAATCTCTCCACTTCTGCTTATCCAACTCATATTCTAATTTCACTGACTGATCTCCAAATCACAAACATTTATTGGTCACACAAATGTAAAATGTGCTGTTTTCCTTGATTTATTTAATTTAATCCAACTAAACCAAACTGAAGAAAATTGTAATTTTCTGTTCTTGTGATGGTTCAAATATCTGAGAAAAACTTTACTTTGAGCATCAGAAATTGTCTAATATTATCTTTAGCTTTGAAGAACTGAACAATTACATCTAACGTTAAATAATAAAATCAAGTAACCAAACACATTAATACGTGTATGAAGAAAGAGGCTGTGATCGAAGAAGAACTTCTTGATTCTTACCAACGACAGTGAGCATGCCAGAGGACTTTGAGGTCTTTGCATCACATTCGTATTCAGCCTCATCGTCAAACACAGACTTGTGGATGATGAGGATGTGCTGGCGACCTTGTGCAATAATTTCATATTTCTTTCCCTTTCTGATTTCATTTCCGTCCTTAAACCAGCGGACCTGTGAGATGTGAAGGAAGAGGTCACTGAGAGCAAGATCAGTCCAAAGAAAACATGAAATGTAACCTTTACTGTAAGCTCATCTGGCAAAAGCGTGTGTTCTCACTTTGACATCTTCTCTGGACACTTCACATTCAAACCTGGCTGATTCCTTCTCTACAACCTCGACGTCGTGGAGTGGCTTTGAGAACTCAATGTGTGGAGCTATTCAGACAAAGAGAAGAGACTCGTTAACACACTCAGTTTCCCACCTCCTGGAGGGGAGGTTACCTTAATAGAGTTTCTTTACTGTTTTAAAAGGCACTTTAACTTTTGTGGGGAGTTTGTGATTTGTGATTTGACAAATGAGTATGTATACAGGCATGCTAAAAGTAATTTGATTTTAATTTGGAGCTTAAAATCACAAATCTCAGAGTGCCATCTATCTCTTAAAAAGGGTTCCTTAACAAAAACAGAGACTGTTTCCTTAATGACCAACACTACTGGGCCACACCTCTTAATCTTTGAAATCTGGTGCTTTCAGTCCCATTGCCACAGCTGTATAAAATCAAGGACCCACCTTTACCAACATTTGTGAAACAATGGGTTGTTTTGACGCACCCACAGATTTCAAGTCAAAGGTTCTCACTGACTGAAACTATAAATGGTATTTTTGCAAAGTGGAAGAAACACTGCAACTCAGCCATAAAGTGACAGAATGGGGCTGCTCAGTGCTGAGATTCAAATTTATGAGCATTCAGCTCAAAACCTGCGGCTTTCCAAATCTCTGCCAGGATTAATATCAGCACAGATCTGGAGAGTCATAGGATGGGTTTTTATGACGAAACAGTTCCTTGTAGGCATAGAGACAGTCGGCAGTTGGCCCAGTACTTCTGTCCCATTTTGGGCCCATTAGTTACCGTGGGGACACCTTCTCATTGAAAGGGTTGTTTTAGGCCAATAAGGGGTGAGTCACAGTCTAATTGGGGTTCCTTTTCATGCCTAATAACTTCTAACTTAATTTTCTTCCCATTTCACAACTATACTTACGTTCAACATTGAGGAAGCATGAGGTTTTGAAGTCTTTAGCATCACAAGCATATGTTTTTGAGTCATCCAAAGTGCAGTCGTGGATGACCAGCGCTCGCTTGCAGCCGTCAACGATCATCTCATATTTCTTTGTCTTGCGGATCTCCTGTCCATCCCTGAACCATCGCACTTCTGCATTTTCCCTGGAAACTTCACATTCGAGTGTGGCCGTGGCCTCCTCTTCCACTGTCTGGTCCTCCAGAGGCTTAGTGAACTCCACTGGTGGTTCTGGATGAACAAAGAAACAGAGAAGACAGCAGTTTGAATTTCAGTAAAGTAGAAACTGAACACTAAAGATCAGTTTATTTTTCGTGGGATTTCATCCTGGCCAATAAAATAAGGCTGCAGTGATAGTCACATATTGTGGTTGATTTATCAGTGCAACGTTTCACCTCTTCTAGTCTTAAAATGCCCACAGAAAAATGTAAGTTAACAATGTAAAGTCTCAGTAAGCTGCAGTAAGAGAGTAGCTGCGGTCCAAGCCAATTGTGTTTTTTGGCGTCAGATGGGTACGTGCAAAATAATCTTGGGGATTTGATAATACACCTGTGCAGCCTCCACAAGTAAAGTTTATACATTCATAATGACCTTTTTAAATAACCTTTTTTTTCCATATCTCACAGTATAAAGTTTTCTTTTTTCTGTGAGATATGTACCTACCCAAATTACAGACCTAAGTAAAACAATCAACAATACAAATGATAAGGACCTGTGCCAGTGAGCTGTCTGTGATCCTGAGTCATGTTTACAATCTGAAACAGAAAATTTACCATTGTAGTGGAAACTACTTGGACCATGCACTGACAAAGTCCCTCCCTGAGCCTGGTTCTGCCGGAGGTTTCTTCCTGTTAAAAGGGAGTTTTTCCTTCCCACTGTCGCCAAACTGCTTGCTCGTAGGATCATACGGTCATATGATTGTTGGGTTTTTCTCTCTATATATCATTGTAGGGTCTACCCTACAATATAAAGCACCTTGACTGTTGTTGTGATTGTGCGCTATATGAATTAAATTGAATTGAATATCTTAAGTGCATTTAACAGTATCCATCCACAATGACAAACAAACAAATTGAACTGGAAGACCAACCAACACAACCACTGTATGCTCGATTTTATAAAGACACCAAGATATATCAACTTGCAGAGTAAAATGCTGGAGATTTTCTATCAGTCAGCTGTGGCAAGTGCAGTGTTCATTGCTGTTGTCTTCTAGAAGGACACTATAAAAGCTGGTGACATCAATTCAATTTAATTCAATTCCATTTTGTTTATATAGCGCCAAATCACAACAACAGTCGTCTCAAGCGGCTTAACATTGTGAGGTAAAGAGCCAACCATAATACAGAGAATCCCCAACAATCATATGACCCCCTGTGAGCAAGCGCTTTGGCAACAGTGGGAAGGAAAACCTCCCTTTTAGAGACGAGGAACCAGCAGAACCAGGCTCAGGGAGGGGCGGGGCCATCTGCTGCCACCAGTTGGAGGTGAGGGGAGGGAAACAAGATAAAAGACATGCTGTGGAAGTGAGCCAGAGATTAATAATAACTCATAATTAAATCTGGAGTGGCCTATGAACACAAAGGGGATGAGAGGAGAAACAGTCAGTGCATCAATGGAAGGCACCAGCAGCCTAAGTCTATTGCAGCATAACCAGGGTGGATTCAGGGTCACCTGATCCAGTCCTGACTATAAGTTTTAAGCCTAATCTTAAAAGTAGAGAGGGTGTCTGGAATTAAGTTAAAAATCCTGAAATAGTGTTGTTGGGTTACCTTTGACAGTAAGACTGGCCTCAGTCTGGAAGTCTTTGGCTGCGAGTTTGATTTGTCCGGCTTCGTTTTGCTCGACATTGCGTAGAGTCAGGGTGTGGACTTTACCCTCCGCCTTCAACACCACCTGCAACAGAGTCGATAATCACAGGGTTTAATCTGTCCTGTATACTTCCTGTCAGGTTGATAGATTCATTCATATTTAGTATTTTCCTGCCCTGAATGTCACAACATGTCACAGGTTTTAACTTCTCTGAAGATCTTATATCAAGTTTAGAGATTCAGTTTTTGTCTGTATAAATCTTATCTCACTAAACCAACTCACTAATTTCCAATCTAATTTGGATTTTTCTGTTTTTTTCCCAGACTATGAATGAATATATGACATTAAACCTCATTGCTGCAAGGATTAGGTATTGCAGTGTCACTGAACATTGCCCGTGAGGTTCAAACCCTGGTCCTCCTCCTCCTGTTAGCAAAGCAATAATTGCTAATGGTAAGACAGGTTTATATGTGATCAACAGTCTTTGTTCTTTGGAGGTTCCTTTGTTTCTCCACATCTACAGAATGTGAAGCACATAGATTTTCTCGGTTAAGCCTGGATGGACAAAATGAATATAGGCACCCCTCCCCCTCCACCCCTCCCCATTTTCCCAATTTAAACTACACGACCTATAACACCCAACAGCTGCTTTTACCACTGTGTCCTGCATGTGACAGAGCTGCCTCACAACACACTCAGAAATGAAACGTGCAGCATTTCTTTATCAGACTAACAAAATAAGCACAACTGAAATTTATGTGACATCAAATGAACTTGGTTCGATTTTTCATTCCTAACAATGATATTTGTCAGAACCGTTTAAGATGAAGGTACAGTGATATTTTTCTGTGCTGTGTGCATGAAAAGACACATCAGCTGTCAACAAGTAGGCAGTACATTCATGTGTTGAGGATAAAGTGGCCTATTAGTGTCATAGTTAAAATGCTGCTTGATCAGAAAAACACTTTTGCTGATAAGCAGAAATGTGACAGAAAAAGTAAAAACAAGACAAACTGATAATAAAGTTTATTTATTTCTATAAAAAAACTTTATTTGTAACATCTTCAGCTGAAAACCTGCATATTTTTTCTTCAACATAAAAGATAAGATTAGATTAATTGGGTTGTCATGTGAGGCCTGAAGCACTTTTCTATAAGAAGAAAGACAAACTGCTGCTTTTTTATCAATTTTACTTTAAACTCTTTGTGAGTTTATATCTGCCATAACGCTGTAACATTTGCTTTGACCAACTCTAAACCTAGATTTTTTTGGGGGTGTTTCTTCCTTTGGTTTTAATTTAGAAAGTTACATGTTTGCCCTTCATACTGACACTTTTATGAATCTTAACTGAACTCGAGGAAGTGCAGTTCTTCATAATCTGCTATAGGTGCAACCACATGTACCAACGACACTCTTCTGTTTGTTTGTATTTAAATGCTCTGCTGAACAAATCAGCCACTTTTGGTATTACCCAAGAAAAACACGTGCTGAGATGGAAAAGCTATTCATTGAGCCCGAGGAAACATTCAGCTTTACATTCTTCTGTGCTTCAGCTACTACTGTGGCTGAAACCTCCACCTATGCTAAACATGCAACATGCAGTGCAACCGAGAAGGAGGGAACGATTCATAAGGACCACGCCGTTCTCGGGTTACTTCAAACTTTAAACACTTGGATCTGGATATGACTCGATTTCATTTCAGGGCCTGGACTATTCACTGTTCAATTCTGAATTACAATGTGAAAACAGCAAGTGCATCAGCTCAAGCAAAACACTTATAGCAGTCCATGTGTTTTGTAGCTGTAGCTGTCATAGCTCTGCTGCCACTTGCCCTGCACCTCAGCCTCCTTCAGCTGTTAAAAATAACCCTGCAGAAACGCTTGTGGGGCAGAAAAGCCTTCCTGCCTATGTTATCTCAAAACCAGGAATCCCAAACCCACACCAGCAGAGCCTTATATGAAGCCGGAGCAGTTCATTGGACACAAAAAACGAACATTGTGTACAAATGGAAAGGGAAATTCTGGCTGTGGGACACAATCATGAGGCCTGGACTTCTGTAGTGGTTTGTAACTGAATGTTAATGGGTCTTGTGTTTCAGGAAGCGAATCTCCTAGTGATCCTGTCCGCAGTAAAGAAACATTGCGTGGGCTCAGTCAGATATGTTGAGACTTACTCTATCGCTTGGCTCCAGCTTTGTACCCCCCAGGAACCACTCGACAGCAATGCCTTCGTATGACAGCTCGCACTCAAAGGTGGCAGTCTCCCCAGCAGTCACGGTAACATCCTTCAGAGGCCTCTGGAGGCCAATCACTCGGGCTTTAGATTGGGAAGAAAACATGGTTAGCGCCCCTGACCGAAAAACAGGTCAATGAAAACCAAAAAACGCCCAGAGAGACATGGCTAATCCTCAGTGGCTATTCCTCATGGTGTTTTGAGCTGAAGGCTGCTGGTGCAAGACCTTGGACAACTGAAACAAGCTGCCCTGAGACTTGGCATTAGGTGTCCAAGCTCATTAGCATGAATCCTACTGTCAGATGTAAACGGCAGGCAGAGCCAGTGAGAGTCGGGGTTCTACCCTTCCCCCCTGCCAATCACAGCAACCCTTCTCTAGATAAGGAATGTGGCTTCAAAAATAACTAAGGAGCCTGATAGGCTGAGAGCCCACATCTGCCAAATCCATTGAGGGAAGCCGGTCTGCTCCTGTCAATCACAAGATTGCAATTTCCCAGGAAAAGGAGAATGTGAATGTCCTCACAGGAGTTACCCAACGTCACACTACTGGGTAGTTTGGTAACACGGGACATACAGAGCTCTAGGAAGTCAGCGTGGATTAACAAGCCACATCAATTATTTATAACAGGCTTCTTCACATGCCTGAATTAAGGCCCCTTTACAGCCTGTTGAAATGCACTCTGGCAGCATGACAGCTCATGCAATCAGAAAGCTGTCAGTCTGAAGAGTTTGCAGTCTCACCATCAAAATGACTCATCTATTAAAGTTAATTCACATTTAAATCCCTACACTGTGAACAAGAATGACTGTTTATGATTGTGTAGCTGGACTGCTGAACTTTCTGAACATTTACTGATTTGATAAATCTAAAAGTGAGAGAGAAGCAAAATTTGAAATAGTTTTTAATTCTAGAAACTTCTAAGCCTGCGCCATTATAGGAGCTTTCAATCAGTCGCTGAGTTATTTAAATATTGTACTGAATTAAATTCTAGTTCAGAGACAAGTTGGAACAAGATCAATCAAAATGAATCATGTGAAGGGAAATATTATTAAAACAACTGCATCACTAACTTTTAATTATTTATTGAATTATTAAAAACAACAAATTATCATCTGATCAAATAGTGCTCCTTGTGTTAATTCTATTACTGAAGAGGATCACGGGATGGGTTGATAACTCAAATCAAGAGGAGGAATTTCAGGAAATTTTAGGCTACGTTCACACTGCAGGCGAAAGCGCATCAAATCTGATTTTTTTGACCCTATGCAACCCATCTATCCGATCATGGTGTGACAGTGTGAACGGCACAAATCCGATATTTTCAAATCCGATCTGGGTCACTTTCGTATGTGGTGCTGAATCCGATACATATCTGATGTTTTAGAAAGCGACTGCTGTTTGATGGTCACGTCGCATTAAATCCGTCTTTTACGTCACTGACACAAGACAGACGCTAATTATCAGCGCCGGAGAAGACATCGCGAACGCTTCCTGACCATCCAGTGTGGATGTCAGTGAAACTGTTGGGAAGACAACGTGAACATTTTATTTGTCCTGTATAACCTGCAGGTTCTGACAGAAATCTGCAGCTATCCTTTGAAGCAGCGCTCCTCTAAAACAGCAATAAGGATCATTATTAGGTTATTTACATTATTATGTAAATAACCTAATAACTTAAAGCAAAAATTGGGAAACGTAAAGTCTGAAGTCTTTATCTTAAGGGTCATCAGTCAAACAATAGTTTGGTCTGGGTCTAAACAGAGTGCGTTGTGTGTGACGTCTTCTTTTGCGCATGCGGGCCGCTTTGAGCGTTCACACTAGAGTGCGTTTGCTGTCGCATTTTATTTGTAGTGTGAACGAGCAGACAAAAAAAATCGGAATTGAGCATCAAGACCTGCAGTGTGAACGTAGCCTTAGTTTCATACTAGCAAATGTTATCACAGACATTTCAAAAATCGCTGTGATTGACTTCAGACTTGTTTCAGTCACCTTTGACCCTGAGCTGAGCTGAGGATTTGGCATTCGCTGCTGCAAAGTCAACACTTCCAGCCATGTCCATTTTGCAGTTATAGAGGATCAATAAGTGCCGGGTTCCTTCCTCCTTGATCTCCACATTCTGAGAACAAACAATGTGCAAACCAACAAGAGATGAATGTGCCAATTCAAAACATTTTCATGGAATTTCCAACAAATGTGTTGAAATTATATTTTATAGGTGTAAAATCTTACAGCAGACAGATGAAGTGTCTCGCCCTTCAGTTTCCAGGTGGCATGAAGGTCCTCCTCAGAAATCTCTGTCTCAAACTTCGCCGTCTCGGTCTCTGTAACTTCCACGCTGTACAGTGGGCGGACAACCTTGATGTCACGTTCTGTGAAGTTTGTTAAAATATGTTAGCGAAACTTACAAGTGAAGGGAAGCGAAGGAAACGTATTAGACGACATCTGTGAAAAGAGTTTCCCATTGTCAGATACAGTGTAACAGATGAACTAAACATAGGACAAGACGGGAGAGTTAAAATCAGAAGACGAGCTTACAATTTGTGTAAAAACAGAAGTTGAGGAACGCTTGAGAATAATTAACCCCATAAAACATTTCAACGTATATCCACATCTACACATCTACAGATCCATAATACCATGCACTGTAAGATGTGCAAGGTTGAATTATTCTCAAGTATTATAATGATAACTTTTACAAGCATTTAGAAATAAAGTGGAAGCTGCAGTAGTGCAGGACAAATGGAGATAACAGGAGGCGGGGTTTGGTGAGTGCTGGTGGGCGGGGCCTGTCTCTGCAGTCCCGGTGGAGTCTGAGGGGCTGGATCACCACAGGTATTACCTTCGATGTTAAGGTCAGCAGTAGTTTTGTCAGTTCCACAGTCGCAGCTGTAAGCGCCCATGTTGCCCTTTGCTGCCTTCTTGATGACCAACATATGTTTCTTGCCATCAGATTTGAAGGAAATGTTCTTGGAGGGAAAGATTTCTTCGCCATCTTTGAACCATTTGACCTCAGCAGCGGCCTTACTCAACTCGCAGGACAAAATCACCTCATCTTTCTCAACAGCGGTGTAATTCTGGAGCTTCACTGTGAAGTACAGGTCGCCCTCTGTGGGCAGACACCAGGATTATATCAGCTGAAAACATTCACTGGCTAAAGTCATGGCAAGTGCAGCGTATACATTCACCCAAAAATGTCACACGTTAATTCCATTTTAATACAGTAAAGGGAAGATGTAGTTTTTTCATGGCAACAAGTACACGAGTCCTGCACTCAGTACATTCTTTATGGAAATCTGGATGCATCCCTCTGCGGTACGATACTAACCCAGAACGGTGAGCATGGCCTCTGAAGTCTTGGCCATCGCCTCCACTTTGATCATAGACGTGTCATCAATTGTGACCTCCTTGAAGGCCAGTGTGTGCACTTTTCCTTCCTCGGACATGTGCACCACTTTGCTGGGGTGCAAACGGACGTCATTTTTGTACCAGACGACTGGGATTTTTTCATGAGAGAGTTCAACGCTGAACTCTGCAGTTTCACGTTCCTTTACGGTCACATCTCTTATTGGCTTGATAAATGCAAGGCGAATACCTGACAAGAAATGTGGCGTTTGTCGTTAAAAGGCTTTTGGCATACAAAGTTTAGCGAGCACGCAAAAGAAGAATTCAGTCACGTACCCAAACAAATCTTCTCCTAAAAACACTAAAGAGATCCAACTTTGTTTACCTTTGATAATCAACTTTCCGGATGTCCTCTTATCCTCAGCCTCGAACATGTATTTACCTTCATCTTCATATCTGGCAGATTTTACAAAAAGACTGTGTCTCTTTCCTTCCACATGGAGTTCAAACTTGTCATCTGTTGACAACTCTTGAGATCCCTTCAGCCAACGGAAGCTTTTGGGCTCCCGGGAAATTTCTAGTTCAAATTTTGCTTCATCCTTTTCATACACATGTACATCAGCCAGAGGTGTAATGAATGACACTGGGACCTCTGTTGATTCAGACAGATAGTTAATAAAAAAATCAAAATATCTGAGTGGGCAGAGACTTTCCACGCTGACTCAAAAAAAGGAAGGTGGGAAGCTCACCCTTCACTTTCAGGTTAGCAGAACATTTGGCATTAGCGGCAGTGAACATGACCTCGCCGGTCTGAGGTACTCTGCAGTTGTACAAGACCAGAGTATGTTTGGCACCGTCCTCCACGATTTCAACATCCTGCAGATGGCCAACAAACGTTTTCAGCAAAATTGTGAGAGTGAAAGAAACGTGATGAGGACACAACTACGATTTATCTCTACTAGCGTATCGACATCCAGATTTAAGTAAAAGAATGAAACCACAGATAAATGAATATCTGCTGAGATGCAGTGACATACAGTGGATGGACTGAGGAGTTCCCCATTCAGTTTCCACTGGCCATGGACATCGTCTTCACTGAGCTCAACCTCAAATCGAGCTGTCTCTCCGTCAAACACCTCAGCGCCATACATCGGCCGAACCACCTTTATGTGACGAGCTGACGTTTTGAAGAGGGGACAAAAAAATCAATGGCATAAACATATAAACATATACAAACATGTACACACAATGTACACACAAAAACAAGTCAACACCAGACAGACACACATACAGAAACCAGTGCCTCGTGGTAATAAAATAAATAAAATGTTGTGATGATTTGATCCAGTTTGAAACTGTGTGATTACTAAAGTGACAAAGTGCTTCAAAAGACAATAAGTGATGTGTTTTGAAAAGGAAATCTCATAACCAGAAGTCAGCGATATGACAACGACACCACAGGACTGACACATAGATTTGAATACAGTTTAGCTTCTTGGAAACTTTAAATCTTTTAGTTTTTAGTCTTCCAGTTTCTGCTGTTAATGGAGAGAGACGGAAAAAAAACAGTAAACGCTGATTGGAAAGTGAAGTGCTTCAAGTAAAAAAATTGCAAAAAAGAGTGAGCGATAGGACGCGATGCACGGGCTGTGCAAGTGAAGACGAGTATCAAGAAGGGAAGGAAGCTGCCTCAAAATGACCGAATATCAAAATCAAGAGATTTCTGGGTCTTTACCTTCAATGTGAAGAGTCGCTGTCGTCTTGTCTGTTCCACAGTCACATAGGTACTGTCCTTTGTCTTTGTCCCCAACTCTCTTGATTATGAGGACTCTGCGTTTGCCTTCAGCTTTAATGTTCACCGTCTTAGAAGCTTTGATCTCGGCCTCATTGTGGTACCACATGACATCGACATCTTTGCTGAGCTCGCAATCTAGAACCACCTCATCTTTCTCCACTGCAGTATAGTCCTGCAGCTTAACTGTGAAGTACGGATCTCCCTCTAGAATGGGAATATTTTGGGGTAATTCCACAATACACCACAAATATACAGTGCACAAAACACGACAGTGAAGACACACGAGAAACACAAATGAAAACCACAAAAAATGATTTCTTATATATCACAGAGACAAGGATACAGTACTTTTGTAGACCCAGACAGACACAACAATGGACAAAGTGTACACAAAGCTGTGGGAAGGACGACACACTTGACAATGAGGACAGAAAGGACAGGTCGTTATTCTTGGATTACCTATAACTGTCAGGTTGGCCATGGAAAGAATTCCTTTGGCCTCAGCCTTAATTTGGCAGATATCATCTAGAGTCACTTCTCTCATTTCTAGTGTGTGCTTCTTTCCATCCACGTGAATGACAACAGTTCTGCTCGGATGAATTTTGTTGTCGTTCTTGTACCAGGTGATGGGGATGTTCTCGTGAGAAAGCTCCAGCTCAAAGCGAGCTGTTTTGCCTTCCTTTACAGTTTGATCCTTTATTGGTGAGATAAATTTCAGCCTGATACCTACAATTGCATTAATAAAACAGGGTCATATGAGTTAGCTCATATGATGGTGGGGTAACCAAGACAATGAATGCAGTGAAAACAATTGTGTTCTGGCCTTTTTTCCAGTAAACGTGGCCCATTACTTACCCTCCACTGTGAGTCTAGCTTTTGAGGTTTTGCCTAAAACTTCAATCATGTATTCGTCCTCGTCATCAAACTCACAGCAGTTTATAATCAGCATGTGCTTCTTTCCGTCGTCGATGATGTCATATTTTTGGTCTTGGGTGATGATGTCAGCCCCTTTATACCACATGACTTTAAAAACATCTTTTGTGATGGTGCATTCAAACTTAGCTTGTTTCTTTTCTGGCACAGAAACATCCTTCAGCGGGACAACAAAGTCCATTTCGACTTCTGAGATAAAAAGTGACATAGGCACAATATGTCAACAACAGAACACAACAACAGGACTGGAGTCTACAGCCTGAGGTCGCTGTACCTTCTGTATCTCTTTAAATGTCCCTCTAGCTGTATAATTACCCTGAATCAGGAAGCACGTAGTATCAGGGACTATTAAAACACTAAGTTACTTCTTGCTATTGACTAAACTGAAGATCACTCCAAAGTGCTTAAAATGGTCAGTAAGACAACAAAGGTGCTGTTGCCAGCTCACAGTGTTCTTCCCATCTTGAACTACATCAGTCCTCTTTCTCACAAGGTGTTGAAAGACCTCCTATATTGAAGTTATTATTAAGGAACACCATGTTGTTAGTAACAAGAATTCAAAATATTCACATTCAAGTTTTGCCACAGGGTAGAAAAAACATCTTCTGAACATAGTTCCCAGAGAATGCAAATAAGAGGTGTCTTCTGTCCACTTCTTAAAGTCCGCACTCCAGCAGATGTTTGCCGGGGAAAATCAATGATTTGTTGCAGAACTCCACTGCTGTTGCTAAAACCAAGTCCCTTTCAAATTGAGTCCCGTAACACATTCACTAACATGTGCTAACTAATAAACTGTCCATGTCCACAGATTTAACATAGAACATTTAACCACAAAAGATACAAATAAACTTTAGAGGGACACAAAATCACATTTATACTTTATATTTTCCAGTACAAGACTTTACAACAACAACAGATACAGCACACCAATTCAACCAGTGAAAATAGCTAAGATCCCACACCAGACTGATATAGTGGCACAAATGATCAAGTTGAGTTGTCGATCCTTTTCAGTAAAGATGTAAGGTCCACTCTCACAGGACGCCTCGGTTAAGACCTCACACCTTTATTTTTACAGGACACTTTTACAGCACACAGAATTTGCAGTTCTTGGTGACAGGAGTTCCCCTTACCTTTGACATTAAGCATGGCGCTGGTTATGGCGTTCAGAGCCGTGTAGGTCACTTCTCCCGCCTGGTCCAGCTGGCAGTTTTTTAGCTTGAGTCTACGCACTGTACCTTCCATTTGGATGTCGCATGTCTAGTGAAAACATTACAATATACTCACGAATAAAGAGTGAACATACAAATTAAAGACAACATGTGCAGCAATATAAGACAAGCCCTTTGTGCCTTACCGGGGATCTGGTCAAAACCTCTCCTTTGAGCTTCCATTCCCCAGGAATGTCGTCCTCAGAAATCTCAGTCTCAAACATGGCATCTTCCTTCTCAACCACCTCGACGCTGACCAAAGGCTTTAGGATCTCAGCCTCCCGCTCTGTGAACACATTATTAGAAATTAGTACTCAATATTAAATCTTATGCATCAGCAACAGAAAACTATTGCAATGATTTAAATTATTACAGTTATTATGGATATAAGTAAGTAAATGGATGAACCTCCAAGTGTTAGCTTGGCAGTGTAGATGCGTCCTTCCACCTCCAGCGCATATTCTGCTACGTCATCAGGCTGGCAGTTCTTGATGACGAGCGTCAGCTCCTTTCCTTCCTTCTTGATCTCAATCTTGTCAGATGGCTGGACTTCATTCTCTCCTTTGAGCCACTTCCAGTTGGGAGTTTCCTTGAAAAGCTCGCATTTAAATGTTGCAGCAGCCTTTGGTTTTACATGCTGATCTCTCAGTGGTTTCACTATCCAGTCTTTGACAATTTCTGTTGAATTTTGAGAGTCAATGACAGTCATATGTTTCAGAATTTGCACAAATAAAACATTGCATGACAAAATCAGCTCAGTCTTAACGTGGTTTAAATTTTAAGCGATACTCAGTTTGAAAATTCCAAGGATCTCTATTTAATGTCCAAGCTATGGAAATAAATCACATTTAGCTGCATGACACTTTGTGGCAATCTTTTTCAATAGGATATAAAGATGCATAATAATGTTATGATATTTATGTTTGTTTTTGCAAACTACAAACAAGCCACAAAATTTGATAAAAATGTGTACTGAGACATGTAGGAGCGTGCAGCACGTCTCATTCTGCTTACCAATCACTTTGACATTTGTTGTAGTCTTAACGTCTTCCTGTCCAGCCACTTCACATGAGAAAACACCGGCGTCCTCCTCCGTGGAGTTCTGGATGGTCACCGCGTGCTGCATACCAATGATATTGATCTGAATCTTGCCCTCCTTTTTCTTGAGGACCTCACCATTCTTCTTCCATATCACATCCCTCTCTTTGTTCAGCTCGCAGGTCATATACAGAGGCTGACCCTTGATTGCTGATGTCTCCTCTCCCAGTTCTTTGATCCATTTCACAGGTAGCTCTTTAACATGACAAAATAGCAGAGACATCACACATTATTTGAGGGGATTCCAATGGTTACATTTTGTGCATCTCAGGACTGCCAAAACATTATTATACCTTCAACGATAAGCTTGGCGGTGCAAGATATCTCTTTGCCAGCGTTCTTGGCCACGCACGTATATTCCCCAGTGTCAGACAGCTGGACATCAATGATGTTCAATTTGCGATCTTTGCCATCTGAAGTGAACTTGTGCTTGGGGCTCTCACGGAGATTGCTACCATCTTTCATCCAAGAAGTAACAGCAGTGGAAGGTGAGACCTCACATTCAAAGACAGCAGATGAGCCGATAGACTCGGCTTCCTGCAGAACAATGTTCTGAAGCTTTTTGATAAACTTCAGCGGGACAGCTTTGAGCTTGAACCCTGCAAAAGGTTCCTCTGGTGGTGGTGGTCCTTTCCCACCAGGCCTCAGCCCCCGACCCCTGCCCTCTCCAGGAGATGGGGTCTGCTTAGCTGAATAAACAAATTGAAGACCATCAATTCACATTTCATTTGAAAAAAGAATGGCATGCTCACGTCATCATATCTGTATCTGCATACTGCATCAGTAAAGTATTCACAGCGCTTTACTTGTCCCACATTTTGTGATGTTACAGCAAAATGGATCCATTTTTTTCACCTCAAGGTTTGACACAGAATAACCCACAAAACTGGCAAACTGACAAAAGTTAGAAACTTTTCTCAAGTTTCTTAAAAAACAATTTATATCAAAGTATTTATGCTCAATACTTTGTTGAAGCACCTTTAACAGCAAATACAGGCTCAAGGTTTTTTGAGTGTGATGCTACAAGCTTGGTACACCGATTTTTGGGCAGTTTCTCCCATTCTTCAGGTTACTTGGGTGGTTCACAGCCATTTTCAGATCTCTCCAGGTGTGTTGTCCTGTTGGAACATGAACCTTTGCTGCAGAGGTCCGGAGCGCTCTGCAGCAAACTGTCATCAAGGATGTCTCTGTACTGTCTTTCCTGACTAGGCTCCTGCTGCTGAAATGTGCTACCATCTACCATGCAGGCCCAGTTGTTCTTCTGGAAGTGGTAAGAAATATCTGGGAGGTGGTCAGGATGCACCTAAGCTCAAGTCTGAGTGCCATGGCATTGAAAAACAAAAACATGTACATAAGTATTCAGAGCTCTGAATACTTATGTACATGTTTTTGTTTTTCAATCTGAATCAAATAGGAATAATTCAAAGCAACCTTTTTTACTTTGTCACTATTGGGTACTATGTGTCAAATTTTGAGGTAACAAATTAATTTAATTTATTTTGACAAAGGCAAAACAAGAGCATAAAGACATTCTTCTCAAAGAAAACACTGAAAATGTAACAGTGCATTTAGCAGGGCTAAATACCGATTATTTATGCACAACTCATTAAGTTTAGCTTCACGAATTGAATCAATTTCTCTTTCAAAAAGCTTGCTGTGCATACAGATGTCTAAAACGACACATAACGTCTCACGTGCTCACTTACCAAACCTCAACTTTGAGTGCATGAATAGCCTGATGCACACAGATTACGTTGCATGTCCACGTGAGGTTTTGAGACAAATTGCAGGCTGCCAGCGGTGTTTCGATGTCCCAGTGTAAAGCTGGGACATCTGGGCTTTGTCATTAAAGTGTATTGGGTTCAGATTTTTATCCATTTTAATCCATTTTGGAATAATGCTGTCATGTGACAAATTGTGAACAAATGAAGCGCTGTGAATCCTTTCTGGATAAACGGTAACATTGGTTTTGCTGGAACATCATTGTTTTATCAAGGTAAAACTTACGTTTCAGCCCTCTACCTCTACCTCTTCCTGCTTCCTCTGTTGGTTGTCCCTCTGTTCAGGAAGAATATAAATTATTTTATGCTCACAGGCTAATCATACATACTTATCATGCTAAACATGCCAGGGTAAGGAACTCCAGTGTAGTGAATGGACTGGGGATTATGAAATGGTTCTGATGGTAAGTTTATGAAGTATTGACACTCACATGGGGGTCGACAAAAACACGATGAGGAAGACAATACATTAAAGTTAAAATAAATGGAAGAACAAAGACGAATGCAATGAGTGGGGACAATACATAATGGAGAATGGTCAAATAGCAGAAACATAAACGACATAACAAAAATGAAACAAAGCGGTAAACGTGACTGGCAGTCGGACACGGAATGATTACACAAGTCTAAGGAAAAGATGAAGAAATCGCATCACACTTAAAATACGATGGAGGGAAAATGAGGTTATGGAAGCGAAGATGAGTGGATATTATTGATGGCAGGGAGGCAGGGTTTTTTCTTTTTTGGTTGTCACCGAAGATGCCACCATCTCACCTCTCCTGGCCACCCCTGGAACCTTCACAGCACCTTCCTCTGCTTCACCTTCCCAGTCCTCTAGCTCGTAACTCTCCTCTGGAACCAGCTCCCAGCCCCATGCCTCCTCTCCCTCTGGCACAGCCTCATTCTCAGCTTCAAACTCCTCTTCAAATACTTCCTCCTCTGCCTGAGTGGCAACCTTCTTCATCTCCACGGCTCCAGGAGAGACTTCCTTTACCAAGGGAACCTTTCCTTCATCAGGCTTTGCCGGTTCCTTAACCTTGGCTTCCTCTTGCAAAGGCTTCTTTGGGACTTTTTTTAGAATCACATCCTCAATAGATTCTTTGGGTGAAACAGTTTTAGGAAGCTTTTTGAGTTTGTCAAGACTTGGCCTTCTCTCAGCTGCAACTTTCTCTGCTTCTTTAAGTTTCTCAACTTTCGGGGAGGGAGTCTTTTTGAGCTCTACCTTCTTGAGCTGCTCTACAGGTTTTAGAGATACTTCCTCTTTTTCCTTTGATAACACTTTTTTCTTCACTTGCAGAGGTTTTTTCTCCTCGAGAACCTTTTCAAGTTTCTCAGCGGGGGCTGGAACAGGAAGTATGGTCTTTTCCAAGTGAGCTACATCTACCTTCTCCGGTTTCACCGGCTTCTTCTCTGGAGCTTCTGGGATCTCAGGTTTCTTTGGTTTAGCCTGTTGTTTCCGTTCTTCAGGGGTCTCAGCTGGACTTGTGTGACGTTTTGGCAGATCATCAGTTGGCCTCCTTTCTTTCTCCTCTGCGGGTTTCTTCTCAGGCTCTGTAGCCTGTTTGGCCAGCCTGTCAAAGGGCTTCAACTTGACTGTTTCTATCTCTGGTTCCACTGTTGGAATCTTCTTCACCTTTTTTGGCCTTTTGTCCTCTTCAGGCTCCTTCTCTGGAGATTTCTTTTGGTCTCCTGGTTTTGGCACCTTGGCTGGTGGCTCTTTTACTTCAACAGGTTCTTTCTCAGATCGCTTTGGAGGTTCTGTGGTTTCCACCTGTCTGGGAAGCCTTTCCCCCTTCTGAAAAGGTGACGTGTCCTTCTCTGGCCTCTCCTTCTTGTCTTTCTCTGGATCCTCTGCTGGTTTAAGAGGCTTCTCGAAGGGTTTCAGTTTGACTACTTCTGGTTCCACTTCATCCAAAGGCAATTTTTTAACTTTCTTTAGGGCTGTACTGGGTGGGGCACTTTCCTCCTCCTTAGGTGTCTTGGGAGTTTTCTTCAGAGAAATGGTATCTTTGGGTTTCTCATCTTTTGGGCCAGGCTTCTGCTGGGTCCACGCATCTTTAGGAGTCTCTTTCTCTTCCTTTTCTTCTTTAGGTTGAATAACTTTTGGCTTTTTCACCACATCTGCTTTCTCTTTTAGCTTCTTCTCCTCCTCATATCTCGTGGTGACAAACATAATCTCAGCAGCTTCTTCTTTATGTACCATCTCCTCAACATTAACAACTGTGGTCTTGGTGACCAGAGGTAATTCCTCTTGTTCAGGCTCTTTTTGTGGAACTGATGGGATCTTCTTCAATATGATAATCTCTTGTTCTTCTTCCACCTCTCTCATGACCCTGGTTGTCTTTCTCAACGTGGGGATCTCAAACGTCACATCCTCTTCCAATTTGACCTTTTGACCTTTTTTGTGTAGAACTGTTTCTGAGGCATCAAATGTTTCATATTACTTGGTTAAACATCGGCTGTATGTATAATACAGTTTAGTGTCAGTAAACTAAACTCATATCACAATTTGTACAAACAAAGAAAATAGCAACTCGTGAAAAAGAGTATAAATAAATAAATATTAATATACAAAGGATAAAAATGTAATCAGGGATTTTAGGAAGATAACTTTGAATGATTTAAGAACAACAAACAAAAGATGACAGGGACATTTCCAGTTTCTCCAACAAAGGACAGAAAGTTTAATGGTGCATTTAGTAGAGCTAATAGGAAATTTGCAAATTAGTGATCAGCTTAATTTAAAAAAAAAACAGTGTTGGACTGATGACTGAAAAGTTACAGATATAGGAGGTATACATGCATGGTTATATACGTGCATTTGGAGACAGGTTTCAAAAAAGGCTACAAATGCTAACTTTTGAGACCTCATGCGAGCATGCTTCAATCCACAAATACAAAGCAATTTGACCACACCGCAAACTATTTTACAAATGCCTGCACCCAAACCTGAATAGATACTGATCATTTACGTTGTGATTACGTTTTGCTTCACGAATTGGATCATTTTCTCTTTCAAAAGCTCTCTGTGCACACAAACATCTAAAACTACACATATCCTCTCACTTGCTCACTTACCAAACCTTAAATTTGAGTGCATGAATCGCCTGATACGCAGAGATCATGTTGCATGCCCACGTGAGGTTTTGAGATAAATTTCAGGCTGCCAGCTTCTCACAGATCGTTCAGACGTCCCAGTGCAAAAATGGGACGTCTGGGTTTCCTCTGTATTACTTGAAGTGGGTGTTTCTTTTCTAAATAAACAGAACAACTCATCACCAATTACAGACACAACGCAGTAACCTATAAATGTCACGATCCTGGGTCTTAGGACCCAGTGTTTTGAGTTTTAGTTCATTTTGATGTTTATAGTATGTTTAAGCTCATCAGGTCTCCTATGTTCATTTGCTTATTAGTTCCCCCTTGTGTTTTCAACCCCTGTGAAGTCTCCCTTGCCCTTCGTGTGTTTCATGTCTGTTGTCTTATGTTGTCATGTCTGCCTCTCGTGTTTCCTGTTTCATTTTGGAGAGATCTCGTGTTTTTATATTATGGATTATGTTTTGAGTCCTTTGTGGTACTGTTTCGTGTTTCCCTAGATCTCAGTTATGGTTATCTTAGGTTTTGCTCTTTGGCTTTGTCATATGGCTTCCCTGTGTTCCATGTTATGTCTCCCCTGTTGCTGTTAAGTTTGCATGTTTAGAATTCAGTCAGTGTGTTTCCTGTTTTACTTTGTAGGTCCATGCCTCATGTCAGTGTTTTTAGTTTTGCGTCTCTGTCTCGTCCAGCCTGATTACTCCCAGCTGTGCTCCCCTTCTGTGTCTCATTCCCTTGTTATCCCTCTGTGTATTTAAGCTCTGTGTTTCTCTTTGTCAGTGTCGTAGTCTCCATCATAGCTGTGTGATTTTTCCCTGTGGCTCCTTGTGCTTTAGTTTTCCCAGTTTAGCTTATTTTGTATTGTTTTTCGTGTCCCACTCCACGCCAGCAATAAAGCTGTGTTTTTTGAGTTTACCTTTTGTCTCTGTGAGTTTGCGTTTGGGTCCTCTCCTGCCTGCCACACAGCCGAATCATGACAGAAGACTACGACCATTACATGGAACCAGCAAACCGCACTCAGCTGTATGAGCGCCAGGAGGCAGCCCTTGCCCAGCTGGAGGAGGAGCTCCGCTGGAAGCCGTGGCGCGCTCCGGATTATGAGCACTTATTCCGCGGAACTCGGCTGGCTTTTGGAGGTCCCCGAAGTTGCCAAAAGCCTCCGCCTGTTGCCCCGCTCGCACCCAAGCCTCGGCCGCTTCGGGTGGGAGTGCTCCGTTTTGCTTCGGATGCTCACGCTCCAGCCTCTGCATTGCCGTCCCGCACGTCAGAGGCTCAGCTGTATGCCCCGTCAGCTTCCTCTCCTCAGAGGAGGCGACGCTCACGCCGCCGTCACTTTTCATTTGCCGAGCAACTCCCGGTGGTGAGTTATAATGACTGCCTTTCACACATCCCAGCTGAAGCCATAACTAAAAAGAACAATAAGCTCACCTCTGATCCGTGGGGAACTTCCCTTATGGATGATGACACGGACTGGGAAAAGTTATTCTGCTTTGCTCCCTCTACACAGGGAGAGATGAAAGACACTACCCGCTCGCCTAAGTCTGCACATGCGGTTAAAGGAAAAACTGTGAACCACTCCACCAGGTCTCAAACACTCAGTTCAGGTTCTGTCAGTTCAGGTTTTGTTAAGTCTGGTTCAGTCATTCCCCAAGTCAGCTCACTCTACAACTGTTAACCCAAGGATTTCAAAAACTATTAAAACAAGGACTGCTAATACTAAGACTGCAAAACATGAAGTGGACGGCGGGTTCATTTTTGATAGATCTATTTTTGTCGATCCTGAGCCTGCCGTTTCTCGGACTGTTTTTTCTGAGCCTGCTCCTTTTCCTGCTCGTGTTCCTCCTCCCGGGGCAGCTCGGGCCCAGCGTACCTCTGCACCCGTACCAGTTCCTCGGGTGGGGGAGGCTGAGGCCCAGTTGGTCCCCGCTCTGGTTTCCAGGCCGGCTGAGGCTCTGTCCCTTTCTGCACCCGTACCAGCTCCTCGGGTGGGAAGGGCAGTTGCCCAGCCGTTGCCGGTGCCTGTTCCGGTCCCCAGGGTGAGGCCAGCCAGGATACAGCCCATCTCTGCACCCGTACCTACTCCTCGGGTGGGAGTGGCTAGTGTCCGGCATGTGCCTGCACCCGTCCCTGTTTCTACTGAGGGCTCAGGAGAATTCAGTCCACAACCATCACCACCATCACTACTGCATGCTTTTCAGTCTATAGCTCAGTCATTGGCTCTGTTAGCAGCCCAGTCCATAGTACACTTTCCTGTGCTTCCGTTAACTCAGCCCTTGGCCCACTGTGCAGCTCAGCCAGCTCCCCATTGTTCAGCTCAGT